GTCCAGACTATGTTGCTCAATGTAAATATTGACATGAATAGACAACTAAAAAAAATACTAACCATTGTTTCCATCTTTCGTCATTGCCGCAAGTAGCTAACCTTTGTACTTTCCTTTGAGGAATGTTCCATCAACAACCTTCCCAAGTTCATGCAAGAACCATGACCAATTGGCCGTGGTCTCTGAATCAACAATCGCAAATGCAACAGGAAACAGACCTACAACACAACACCAATATACAACTGTTCACATTATTCCAAATTGAATAGAAAACAATATAAACGAAACAGGTCATGTGAATGTTTATATCTACATTGCCCTAGTACTATTGTTATTTTTGGATTTGGGTTCGTAAACATCAATGATATGGACATTCACATTAACAACCATTAATAATTCATTGTTGATTGTTGACTCATTGATAATGTGAACATTCACAGTACTGTTCATTAATGGGTAAACTGACATTAGTATACACTAATGTGAACATTCACATCAGTGTATAATAATGTGAATGTTCACGTTACTGTCATTAGCAGACACAGATGTGAACATTCACATCAGTGCATACTAATATCAATGTTCACATTACTTAAAATTTCTCAATCGCTCATATTTTGTTGTTGTTCACATCAATGTGTATTGATGTAAACATTGACACCAGTGTAAATGTGGAACACACTGTGTAATCGTCTGTTATTTGTCCAGACTATGTTGCTCAATGTAAATATTGACATGAATAGACAACTAAAAAAAATACTAACCATTGTTTCCATCTTTCGTCATTGCCGCAAGTAGCTAACCTTTGTACTTTCCTTTGAGGAATGTTCCATCCAGGAATATTAAAGGCCGACAAGAATTGAACCCAGAAATACACGCAGCGAATGACACAAAGAAACGACAAAACTGTTGACTACTCGCATCATAGTCAATATTGACATAACTCCCCGGATTGTACCACATCACAGCATCCGAATACCACCTCAGCTGGTCAAACGATAATGAGTGATCTCCATGAATACCAGCCTTTGCTTTCTCCACACCTAACCATACAACATGATAACTCACATCTAGACCATAATCCCTCTACAAAATAGCCACCACCTTACACGGCTGAGTCAATGACTTGTCCCTCACAATTTCAGATATGGTACTCGACACCAAATCCGAACTAACTCGCGGATTCTTCGATGTTCGGACATCCGTACCACAACTATGCACATCTCTAAACCTCTTGATGTAGAAAAAACCATTTGCTCGTTGTGCTCTACAATGTATAGCCCACAAGCAGCCTCTCTCCTCTCCCATCGCACACACAACAGCAACTCCTGTTGTCTCGTTCTTGACATACGTAAACTAAAACCCACATTGGATGGCATACTTACATAAAATATCATGAAATTCTTGTGCACCTCCAACAAACCGTTGTCCCACATGCGTGATACCATTTGCCCAAGGGACTGACAACAACGCCTTCTCCTTATGGTGGCAAAATCTCCGTAGTGCATCAATTTCTTCCTCAACCCCCACACGCAGCGATATCGAGCTACTTAATTGACCAATATCACTTTTTAACTCAACAACAACTTCTACATGTGTGTACCCCCATTGATTTAGCAAGCAGTAACATGATCTGAAATTCTTCTTCATTGTCCAAATCACACCTATTAATCACAGGTAACCGACAAAACAATGAAATAGAACCAGCAGAAAACTCCCCTCATTTTTCACACAAACAATCCACCAAACGCGAATAACACAACGCGCGGGCACATTTATTACAGTTGTACTGCAACCATATGTACACACCAACATCATAAAGGTATCCATCTCCTATAAAAACACAACAATACAACAATCAACAATAACCCAAAACGATATGAAAATTCACATTGTGCAAAAATTAGATGACTACAAGTACAATTCAAGTGTTAAATCCATAATTCACATTAACAAGATGTGAATATTCACATTGACACATATACTCTGAATTATATCACCCACACAGAGCCTCATTAACCAAACATCAAAGTAAAATGAGAACATCCACATGCTTCACATAATATTAACACGATGTAAACATTTACATTGATACATATACTCTGAATTATATCACCCACACAAAGCTCCATTAAGCAAACATCAAAGTAAAATAAGAACATCCACATTGTTCACATAATATTAATACGATGTAAACATTCACATTGTTCCATATACTCTGAATTATAGAACATCCACATTCATCACTAATCTGATGGCCTCCCCTCCACAGGACCACGATGTAAACATTCACATTAATCCATATACTCTGAATAATATCACTCACACAGAGCCTCATTAAGCAAACATCAAAGTAAAATGAGAACATCCACATTCTTCACATAATATTAACAAGATGTAAACATTCACATTGATACATATACTCTGAATTATATCAACCACACAGAGCCTCATTATGGATACATCAAAGTAAAATGAGAACTACACATTCTTCACATAATCTAAATGACATCCCCTCCACAGGACCACGTATGATGCATATAATTGAAAAAATAGAGCATTCGATCCATATCAATCAAAAAACAGAGTATCTGATCCATCATACAAATCAAAACATAAAGTGAACATATATTCATAACCAAAATGATACTAACCTTAATCATGCAATCCTACAATCGTTCAGTAACTCGAAAACAACTGCTTTGAAGTAATTATACTCTAGAAAATGTGACAACCGAACACCTTCAAATTCGTTGTCTTCACTTGAAAATCACCGAACCAGACTACAACAGTAACAATGAAACCCTAGCACATCAAAGCCTCAGAACGAGATGCAAGATAGGAATGGCAACGGGCCGAGGCGGGGATCACCCTTCCCGTCTCCGATCCCTGAAACTACCATGTTCCCCATCCCCGGCCCCGATCCCTGGTGGGGAATCTATCACCCCTCTAGCCCCCGCACCCGCACGGGGATCGGGTTTCCCCGACCCCGAAAAATCCCAATACAAAAACAACAAAATCATCAACATCAACATTAACACCATCAACAACATCATCTGTGTATTTGAGTGTGTGTCATAGAGAGAGAGAGAGAGACATCATCAACATCAAAAAAAAAAAAAAGTTCAAAAATCATCAACATAAACATCATCAACGGCAGCAAGCAACATCATCAAAAAAAAAAAAAAATTCATCAACACATCATCAAGGCAGCAACATCATCAAAAAAATAACTAAATAAATAAATAAAGTAGAGACAGATCTGGCGGAGGAGGGACGAAGTCGGCGGTGGCGGTGGCGGGATCCTCTCAGATCTGTCGTGGCAGAAAGAGGAGAAGGCGGAGGAGGAGACGAGAGGCGACGCCGACGGAGGAAGAGGCGAGAGGCGACGGAGCCGACGGAGGACGAGGCCGCGAAAGACAACGGAGAAGAGACTAACTAAGTGAGAGGGATGAGATACGGTGAGTAAAGGAAAAGAGATCAAAGGAGATGAAAAGAGAGAGAGAGAGAGTAGAGATGAAAGAGATAAGAAGAGAGAGTGTGTGTAGATATTTTAAAGAAAGAGATAAGAAGAATCAGTATAAAGCATATTATATTATATTTATATAATATGCATAAAGCATAAAGCATATTGTATTATATATATATAATACGTCGGGGACAGCCGGGCCGGGGCTGGGGATTTGGCACTTATCACCGTCCCCGGCCCGAAATTAATCGGGGAATAATTTTTGAATACCATCCCCGTCCCGTCAGGGTATTTTTCGGGAAAAAACCGTTCAAATCGGGATCGGGAGATCGGGCCCCGTCGGGCCAGTTTCAATTTGCCATCCCTAATGCAAGATAGAAACATATCCATCTGAATTAGAATGATAATGAAAAGCATAAAGATAGAAACTGCCAAAACTGAATCAATGAAATCACAAGGAATGTGTTATGTATTAACACAGTATATATATATATAAGGGGATAATAGTTCAGGTAAAAATATAAAATTAGTAAAATGAACCTTATAGAATAAAAAGAAAAGTATATGTGATTAATTAGGTTATAATATTCCTTTGTAAACCTAATGGATTATAACAACTCTAAGATGGATTTATCAATAAAAATTTTAAAAAAATTAAAATTTTAATTAATAAATACTACTCTAAACTATTTTTCTGACTCCGTCATTACTCATATAAGATGCGAAAGCTGAATTTGTTATAGAAATATGTTAAATAACTATAAATAAGTTTTACATACAAAATTGTGGAAATTGTTTGCTAAAAGTGGCGGGTGACAATGAAGTGGCCTGCACGACCACGAATAATAAAATAAATAGATTTTTTTGTTTAAAGTTTCTTTTCTTTTTTAGTCTCTTGGATGTCTTGTTAAAATATAAGAAAAATTGTATGTAGTATCTTTACAAAATATTTATAAATTTATGAAAAAATTTATAACTTGAATTATTAAAGTTGATAAAATTTACTACTAATTTGTAAAAAAAAAATTCAAAACATTCACTAATGTGCAATTTTCCCTAAAATATATTCAGGAAGGAGAATGATTTATTTATTTACTTGATAAGAGATGCATTGAGATCGAATCATCTATTTATACTTTCTTTGCCTTTTATTCTAAATTATTTTTGTATTTATATAATTAGAATTTGAGCATATTGTGGAAAAAAAGAATATTATTTAAGTAGAATTAATAAGTACAAAAGGTAAATTCTACGGCAGTTTACTGGGTAAAAATATAATTTATTTTTAATATTTTTTAGAGGAATTTTTAATTTAGTGTGTTCTCTTAAAAAAAAATTACAGATAAATGGTAAACTGCATACATATTAATAATTAAAATCATACAATTTTTCATAAATCTGTCATAATTTTCTGATAATATCACGTTCGGTAATTTCCTTTTTTTTTTTAAGGAAAAATTAATATATATGTATTTATTTATATATTTAAAATGAAGAAAGTTGATTTGGAAAAAGAGAGAGAATTCATAAATTAGTTACAGTTAGGACCCTCTCTCCTTGGTTGATGCCGCTTTATTCTAAGCAATGTCCCTTTGAAAAAAAACTCCGACCTGTATGCAACGCCCTCTCTCTCTCTCTCTCTCCATCAATCTCTGTAGCTCAAACAAAACCCAAAATTCAGACACTAATTTTATCCAGAAAGGTAACCTTCTGAGCTCAAATCAAGACAAAAACAAGAAATTCTAAGTGAGCAATCAGGTACCCTCTTCACAATTCCTTCTCTCTATTTTGTAATTTTCAATCCCCGCTTTCTGGGTACGTTTGATTTTTGTGTAAAACCATCTTGATTTCCATTCTTTCACATGCCCTTTTCTTTTTTGTTGCAGAAATCTCTTGATTCAATTTTGTGGGTACATGCATTTTATTTTATTTTTTGAGGGGTTGATTTGGATAAAAATGTGCTTTTTAATTCATTGGTTCATTGATTATCCTCAATTTTTCGCACAGTTGAATTTTTGAGTTTGTCAATGGAATACCACCTGAAATCGGTGAATGTTTGATCAATGTGGGATTGTAGTCAATTACAAAGTTTGTGTTTTTGTAATGGTGTGAAATCATGAGAGGGCATGGAAACTTTCTTGTGTAAATGTATTGGACTTGTGAAAGATATTTGTTGTCAAAGATCAATTCTAAATACCGATAATTTTTAGGTAAATTTTACATGCGATCCATCGTAAAAGTTGAAAGACAAGCGATTGAGAAAGCCAATTGCACTGTATTTTGGGTTGAATTTGTACATAGCATGAGTTTTGTGTGTCTTCTTCTTTGACATTTGAAGAGGCACTTGCACAAGAAGTGGTGCATTTTGGTGGAGAATTCAAAAATAAAGCTAAAATACCCGGAAAAGATATTGGATCATTTTAGACCATGAAAAGTGAAATGTTCATAAAGAGTTGAAAGATCTTTTTATTTTGTTTGAGACCATGACAAGTGAGGTTCCCGGTACTTCAGGCCGACAGTTCAAAAATGATTTGGCCAAGGTTGTGCCGATTGATGAACTTTATGCAGGTCACGGTTTACATAATATTTCTGTACAGACGGGTGAGGAATTTTCCGCAGAGTTTCTTCGGGATCGTGCCACACCAAGAAGAGTACCCCTCATGACTGATATGGATCAGCGTCAACCAAAGAGAGTGGGGTTTAACTTTGTTCAGAATAATCAAATGGTTTATGAGGATCTCACTGGACTTCTTGGGATAAGAAGAAGAGATTCTGAAAGTGGGACATATGATTCAGATATCAGTTCTGGGAAAGAATATGCAGCCGGAGAAGAGCAAAAGGGTTATTCGAATATGGGAAGCAGGTATTATAGGGACTATAGTGCCGGTGGTCAACAACTGGCTGAGCTTTCTGATGAGGTTAATTTTAATCCTGGCCCATCTTTCCATGCATCAGAGTCCCCTCATTCGTATCAACCTTTTGGTAATGGCTCGGGAGTTTCAGATGGTTCTTTTCCTGGAAAGATTAAATTCCTCTGCAGCTTTGGGGGAAGAATATTACCAAGGCCAAGTGATGGGAAGCTTAGATATGTCGGAGGAGAGACACGGATTATATCCATCAGGAAAAACCTGACTTATAGCGAACTTGTGAGGAAAACTTCTGCAATTTGCATTCAACCTCATTCGATCAAGTACCAACTCCCCGGTGAGGACCTTGATGCACTTATATCTGTATCTTCTGATGAAGATCTTCATCATATGCTAGAGGAGTATCATGATTTGGAAAGAGGTTCTCAAAGATTACGGATATTTCTTGTATCTTCTGGTGAAACAGATAGCCCATGTTCGTTTGAGTCAAGGACTGTGCAACAGAGTGATCCTGATTATCAATATCTTGTTGCAGTTAATGGCATGCTTGACCCAAGTCCCCGGAGGAGCTCTAGTGGCCATAGTCTGTCAAGTCAAGCGAGCCAGTGGGGAAGTACCTTTGACAATAGTCCAACTTTTCAAAGAGACTCGCCTACATCGTTTCATCCATTGGAGGTTAGGGAAGGAGGAAGCTCCCCTAATTTGACAATGATGCTCTCAAACCCTACCTCTCAGTTTTTTAACACACCTCAGAATGCAAACAAGTCATATAGTCAATCTCCTCCCTTGTCTCCAGTGCCAGGTCAGCATAGAGATCCTAAGAATGCCCGTATGCAGATGTATGAGGATCATGCATTTGCCGATGGTCATAACAGTCCACGTGTTATGGACCAGCCGGCATATGACAATTCCTATAATTTTGATGCACCGAGCCATTACTGTAATCAACTTCACGAGCCTCGGCAGGTGATGCATTACCATCATCATAACAAACGTTTGATAGAACCCAACCAGGCTCATGAAATGCGTTTTCACAATCGTAGCCCCAGTGATGATTTTGTTTATTCTGCACTATATAGTCAAAATGATATGGACTTTGGGAGGCCCATCGTTAATGAAATGGGATTGCAGTCTGAGAAGTTCCTGTCTTCTCCTGAAGATACAAGGGGTCCTTTTCATGGATCTGACATTTCAGTGGGCTCTCTAAATAAAATGTCTCATGTGAAATCTGAGTCACAATTACACTGTGAAGAGAGGTCCAATTACTCATTGGAACAAGAGAACGTCTCATGGTACCCATTGGATTTCAAAATGGAAAAATCACCTTCGCTGACATTGTCGACTTCATCAAGAGAATGCCAAATGCAACAGCAAGAGATTAGTGGTGAGAAATGCGAATCATCTAAGTATGAGAATATGCCCACTTTCAAGCCAGGGGATTACAACAAGGAATATACAGAATGGGGACAAGATATGTTGATGCGGATGGGCAAGAAAGTTGCTCCTTTGAGTCAAGAAGCAAAATTTTATGATGAAAAAGGTAACCCTGTTTCGAATGCTATTGACATGGAACATAACTTGATTAACTTCTATGAAAACTCAATACCACGACTCGAGCAACAAGAGTTAAAAGTCCCTGAAGGCACAAACTCTGCTTACCTTGCCACTGCACAGGAAGATTTTGCAAGTACTATGAGAAAGGGCCCTAATGATTACAACTTCAATCCATCAGCACCTGAGTTTCTTAACAAGGATGTTGTAACTGGGACAATAAGAACTGTAAAAGTTTCTGATGGATCTTCTGGAGGACCTGGACAACAACTTGTTGTGGTTCAAGGCATGAATGGACAAGAACCCATTCTGGCAAACCCTGTATATCTAACTGCATTTGCACAAGGTGTGTCTCATTCAAGCTTAAACTTGTATAAGAATGACCCTCCTGTTACTGGCGTTTCAACTCAGAATCCAGGCACAAATGCTGCTTTAGGAAGAGAGATTTCTCATCTTGGGGAGGGCCCAGTGAAACATCGTAGTAATAGTGTTGGACAGGTAGGCTCCCAGGGACACATTTCTGAGGGATCGAAACTTGGAGATGCCGTCATCATCCGGTCAAAACACTCAGATATTCATTCTCAGAATAATGTATCGGAATCAGCAGTCATTGTTGAAGATGTAACAGATAGTATTCCTTCTGATGTGCCATCATCCTCAAAGATTGTTCCATATGTGGAATATGAACCGAACGATGAAATTCATTCTCCTAGAGGAACAGAAACTGACAGTGTCGCCCCAGAGTCTGACTTCGAGGTAATTTTTTTTTTTTGATAATTTTTTGTTTTTTTTGTTGGGAAATGCTGTTCACGGCCATTGTGGCTGTGTCATAGCCCTCCCGCTCACATGGATTGATCCTCCATTATGATAGAGGGGACTACAGACAGCCATTGTCGCTGTGAGTTTATCAATTTCTTTCTTTTCCTATAGCTTTGTAGATTATGATATTGTGATTTCTGTTTTTGTCGGAAGCTTTGAGTTAATACTTTTTGTTTTGTAGGATGTAGAAGGTGATGGAAAAGACAAGGATGAATCTATCAGTGATGCTGCAATAGCTGAAATGGAAGCCGGCATCTACGGTTTGCAGGTTCAGAAATTAAATTCTAATTGGTTCATGCATGATCCATTACCAATCTTCAATTTTATAAATTGCAGATGCTGATTATTTTTTTTTTTTCTTTTCTTTTCCTTTTGTTTCTTTTTCTTGCCATGCTTTATGAACTAGAGAACATTGTGGACATCTGTTGTTGACGCATTTTTATTAGAATGCATATGGCATTTTACTTTTTTTACTTGGGGCTAATGTGATGAGATGCACCACCCCTCATCACCAAGTGAAAAGCAAGAGGCTTGGCTTCGCCAAGGAGTTGAACCAAAGACCTAGAGGTTATAACCCCCAAGTCTTTCAAACTCAACTACACCCTTAGTTGCAACGTTATGAAGTTATATCAAAATCCCTTGATTGTACACATTGGAAGTAATGGGGAAAAAAACAAACATAACAAACTCCAGAATTCTGCATATACTTGGGGAACAAATCATAATAGCCCCTTGATTGAAGTGAAGTGGAAATTTCTACAGATTTTAAGACTATTCTCCTAGCGTGCCACCTCAGGTTGAAGCATGAATTTGAGAATACCCAACTTGTAGTGAGAATTGAAAATGATCTTCTGCATTTATTTTATTCAACCATGCCTTCCGCATTTATTTTATTCCTTCTCAATTCTGTTTTTGGATCTTTTGTGTTGGCAACACGTTTTGCATTTAATTGTTTGAATAAATTTTGTTGTCTGTCAAAGAATCTGAGAAACATAAGCACTGAAGAAACATAAGAAGAATATTGAAGAAAATTTAAATAAATAAATAAAAAAAGAAGAGAAAACTATCTTCAATCCTCAATAATTATAAAAATGTTCAGCCATTTTTGTGAAAAAACTACTGTAGATCTTAGTCCGCTGAATAGACTGCGAACGAGCTAACCAGCTGTAACATGGAAGCCATACTGTAGGGGTGGCTGAATTATTCCTCAACTGTATAAGGCTTTCATGGTCTGATGATACCTTCGATGTCACCAGCACATTTATAAATTAATTTCCTCATATTTGATTATCGGGTTTTCTTCTTTTTGGGGAAAGTTAAAACAAACTAAATAAATAAATAAAGGTTTGATGTATTTTTAACTGAATACCTCAGACACCCATGTGCAGATCATAAAGAATGCTGATCTTGAAGAGCTACATGAGTTAGGATCTGGTACTTTTGGAACTGTTTATCATGGAAAGTGGAGGGGAACAGATGTTGCTATCAAGAGAATCAAAAGGAGCTGTTTTGCTGGAAGATCATCAGAGCAAGCTTGGGTTGGTGGGTCCCTGACTTAAATTTCTCTGTAACCTCTTCCAATCATGACTTTTATACTTACATCCAACTCTAGAATTTCTTTTGATCCATACATTCCTATATTGTGTAAAGTACAGTAAGCAGATTTGCCTTGAGCAAAGGAATAACAATTACTATGAGAAGTTAGAGATAATCCTGCACTTCAAGAAAGAAAAAAAAAATGTATATTATTTTTTATTTTTCTTTTTTTAAACTCTAAAATACAATCTCACTTGTTTTGACAGATAAAAGACTTTTGGAGAGAAGCTCAAATCCTGTCAAAACTTCACCATCCCAATGTACTGGCATTCTATGGAGTGGTTCCTGATGGGCCTGGAGGAACATTAGCAACTGTAACTGAATATATGGCCAATGGGTCTCTAAGACATGTCCTATTAAAGAAGGATCGGTAAGTTGGTTTATGTTTTTCAAATCTCCCTTCTATACCCTCTTACCAAGAAATGTTTTAACAGAATCTTGAAATTGTTCCAGCAAGGTGCTTGATCGACGCAAAAAGCTTATGATTGCAATGGATGCAGCTTTTGGCATGGAGTACTTGCATCTGAAAAATATTGTTCATTTTGATTTGAAATGTGACAACTTGCTTGTCAATTTGGGAGACCCCCAACGACCCATATGCAAGGTAATTACAGAAGAAACAATGCTTGATAAAACCAAGTTGTCTTCAAAACTTGTTTTAGTAGTATGTCTGAACAGAGAAGTTTGCTTTTTGGAATATGAAAGTTCGTGGAAGCTTTTTACTGCCCAATTTCATTGTTTATGCTTCACATTCTTCATTTTTTCCCTTTTCAGGTTGGAGATTTTGGATTGTCAAGAATTAAACGGAATACACTTGTGTCTGGTGGGGTCCGGGGAACACTTCCATGGATGGCACCAGAGCTACTAAATGGAAGCAGCAGTCGGGTTTCTGAGAAGGTTAGAATCAAAGCCCGGGATTGAATTTGAACAGCATTGACGTCTTAAACAATGAAATAATTGCATCCAATTTCTTTATTTTGCTTTGTTCTTCATGGGTTTTGATAGGTCGATGTGTTCTCATTTGGCATTGCAATGTGGGAGATCTTGACCGGGGAGGAGCCCTATGCAGACATGCATTGTGGTGCTATTATAGGTGTGATTTTTCTATTTGATGCAATTATGACTGAAACAAAGATGGCAGAGACCTCGGTCGGAGTTTTTTTTTGAAGTTCAGATCCACCTTCACCTATTAACACTAAAAACATCTAACATTCTAGGGACAGATCTACATAAATTGATAGTCGGATATCAAGGCCTCCAGTAGGATTTGAAATGAAAGCTGAATCCCATATTCATGAAAATTGGTGTTGAATAGCTTGATATATATTGTTGGGTCCATTTCCCAATGCCATAGTGTCACTACGAGGATTTCTAGGCACGTGTTAGGAAATCATTTGATAATAATTTGAGAGAGTGATAGAGACTTAAAGCCCTTTTATTTTTTTGCATGCAACTTCCGTAACAGTTTTTTTGTCTCAACCTCTAAATGGTTTTATTAGCCTCTCTCAGAACTTAGTTACTTCACTTGCTTTCACAGTAGTTAAAAATTTTACAATTCCAAAATATGAATTTGGATGTATATTGGAACGAAAAGTAAAGCTTTCATAATGTTGTTAACTTCTAAAACCTTGATACTAGAGCTGTGTAAAAGTGGAAATGTGTCATAGTGTACAAATTGATTTCTTTGTCTCAAATTTAACATATTTCATTTTCTTTCATATATCAGCATTCTATGATCATTGTTTCTGTTCTTGTTGACAATTTTAATGATGAATTCTGTTGTTGTGGGCTATGCATGAAGGTGGAATTGTAAGTAACACACTCCGGCCTTCCATTCCTGACCACTGCAATGCCGAGTGGAGAAAGTTGATGGAAGATTGCTGGTCACCCGATCCAACAGTCAGGCCATCATTCACAGAGATAACAAACAGGCTTCGAGTCATGTCAATGGCACTCCAGCCAAAGCGACATAATCCGGCAAAGAGATGAGATTCTACATCCCTATGTAAGTTAGAAGGAAAAAAAAAAAAAAGACAACCAAAAAAATGACAAATTCCCATCTTTTTGTGAGTTGATTTTGTAAAATAGACTCATACAAGCAATTCTTGTAGGGTAAATCTCTGTAGATTCAAGGTATGAATGAATATTACAGCATTTCTTCCACTCTTCTCATTATACTTGCAATTTTTTAATGGAACTCCATGTAAATTGTTGCCACCTCTTATCTTTTTGTTAAATTTAACACACTATTTGGTTATATTTACGTTTGGTTTGTAGATTTGGAGACAGATTTGAAAAGAGAAAGGGAAAAAATATGTGAGACTAAGTGAAATGTAAGTATACTTTGTTCATATTTTACCTATATTTTCTATTTCTTTTTTCAAATCTCTCTTTAAATTTTCTAACCAAACACAGTGAAAATATAAGATAAATGAAAAATAAAAAAAATTAATTGTAAATTAGTAGAGTGCAAGTGAGATCACATCAACATAGTTCTCACTGTACTGGAGCACAGATCCAAGGGGATTATGAGTCCGATTTTAAGTAGCTAAATAGTGCACTCCTTTTAATTGGTGAAAAATAATGAAACCTACCTTTTTAAGTGAAGTTTGTTACTTTTTGGATATGGGACTCACAGTTTTGAAGCAACGAGAACAAATTTATTTGGATAAATTATAAATATGCTGTTAAAATTTGTTTAAAATATAAATTATTTTTATAATTTTAAAAATTACATCTCATTCTTTAAAGTTTTTAATTTTATAACACATAACGCCTTTATTAATAAATTATTAAATCAATTAATAATTTTTAATAATGTTATAAATTTATTTTAATTAATAATTTAATATTATTGAATAGGAAACCAATTAGGTTTTTTATTTTTTAAATTAATTTTGTTAAACAAAAAAATTGACAATAAAATATTTATAATTTTTTAAATCACATAAAATCATCCGTATTTTAATAAATCTCAAAAATGTGTTTATAATTTACACAATTCATTTTGGAAGATAGTTCACAAGTGGGATGCACAAAAAGGCGTTAAGACCATAAACAAGATGAGATGAGTTGAGATTTAATATGTTAGGATTTGTTTATTAAGATTTTAATAAATTTGAATTTAAACTCGAGTTTAATAAAAATTTAATGAATCGAGCTCAAACCGAGTTGGCTCAGACTTGACTCGAACTCAAGCTTGTTCATACTTTAACGAGCCAAAGAAATTATAAAATCATACTTGCACATAAAATTAAAGTTATAATTGAAACTTTGATTACACAATTATTTATACAATATATAAAATATACTAAAAGAAAAATCAATACCTTATTAAAATAATAATAGCTACACCACTATATAAATGTATTATCTATAATTAGTTACTATTTAGATTATTTAAATATATAAATAACATATTTATCCTATTTTTCATACATATTTTTATGTTATTTGAATAAATATTAAATGAACGGCTAACATTATTTATTAAGATTTTAATAAATTTAAACTTCAATTCAAACATAATAAAAATTTAATAAATCAAATTTAAACAAACCCTTATCAAATCAACTAAAATTTATCCACAAACGATTTTGTTTATTTGCAGCTCACCCGCCATTATAAAGTTGTCCACTCTTCCCTTGGAAGAGCCATATTGGCTTTTCTAGACAAAAACACACACAAACATAGCCCAACCATGTTCCCTCTCTCTCCTCAATACTTCTTTTGCATTTTTGTTTTCGTGTCTGCCCCACCAAGAAATTATACATTACAACGGTGGTGTTTAGCGTAATTTGTTATAAATTTAAAATTCAAAAATAGCTTATTTGAAGTGTGTTATATAAGCATATTTTTTTTTATCTTTTTTAGAATCACTTTGCTTGTTTTCACTTTTCTAAAAATATTTTTCAGAAAATTCAACTTCTTATTTTTCGTATTTTTTTGTTTTTACTGAATTTTTTTTAATATTTTAAGCAAATTTTTTCACTTTTTAGACACACCTAACATAAATATACCTAAAAAGTAAAAAAAATGTGAAAAAAAAGCCTTTTAAAAATTCAGTAAATGCCAAAAATACAAAAAAAAAATACAAGAATTCTGTACATTTTTTGTATTTTTATATATTTGTTAATTTTTTAAATATTTTTTCACAAATTTTTTACTTTTTAGATACATCAAAGTAAAGTGTATCTAAAAAAGTAAAAAAAAATGTTTAATATTTTAAAAATATTCACTAAAAACAAAAAAACACGAAAATTAAAAAACTTAATTTTTAAAAAACTTAAAAAACTCAAACCAAACACACTGATTACTTTTCTATTTTTTATACATCTTTTCATAAAAAGTTAAAAAATACATTTATTTAAATCATCCTAAATAACCCCGTTATTTCTCTTTAATTAATTCACTGAATTTTATAAAGCTTCATGTGTGTACTTAGGACATCCACAGTGGACTCACTAAGGCACCGTTTGGGAAGCAAGATCTGAGGCTTTTTTGGCTATTTTAGTCATAAAAGGTAAAATAGCCTATTTTAGCCACAACAAACAAAATATCACATCCAACCCATAATCATTATACTCTTCTGTCACAAAAAAACCAAAAAAGTCAAAAAACTAAAAAGTCCTTCCCAAACCAAGCTTTTCAGCCCAGGCTAAAATAGCAAAAAAGTCAACCCACTTCTAAGACACAAGTTAGGGGTTGTTTGGGGTATCCTAAATAAGTGCACTTTTTGTCTTTTTGAACTAAAAAATTGAGGAAAAAAATATGGATGTTTGAGTTAACTTTTTGACTTTTTTATGGAAAATTGGATATGGGACTCACAGTTTTGAAAATTGTATAAATTAGTGTGTAGGGAAAAATTAGGATTGGGAGTTGTGCAGCCGTAATTTTTGACTTTTAGTGAATAGTGATAATTTTTTAACTTTTTGAGTAACTTTTTGACTTTTTTTCAACTTGCCAAACTTGACCTTAGAATTAGAGGTTAATTTTTAGCCGGCCAAAATTGTTGTTTGACACTGCAATGGAAATGTTAACTCCTTTGTTAACACTGCCAGATATTAACATGCTAGTTGCAAATATTCTGAATTGGGATCCTCCCCTTGCACTCCCTCCTTGTAGGGCCTTCGGGCCTACTTTTAGGCCCAATTTTGATAATCTGAATCGTTCATATTTTAAAATTTATTCAGTATATCATACCTGTAAAAAATCAAGTTGATCGGATATCATAAAGTATATGTTCGGAAAACTGTTTATTAAATTCTTTAAAAAAATAGTTTTTAGTTCGATTTTTCCGAATACATGTTTTCTGATATCCGATCAACTTAATTTTTACAGGTATAATATACTGAATAAATTTTAAAATATAAACAATTAGAATTATTAAAATTGGGCCTAAAAATAGGCCCAAAGGCCCTGCAAGGAGGGAGTGCAACGAGGGAATGCAAGGGAGGATCTGTGCTCAAATATTCTAGCCAACCATTACAGGAACAAGAGAGGAGGAACAAGAGAGAAGGGAGATAAAGAGGGAGAAATAGAGTGTGGGACCACAAGTTGTTAGCTGCCGAAATGATAATGAAGAAGAAGAGAGGTGAGAGAAAATAAGTTATTAATATTATTTTTTTATTAATTCAATATATTTATACATCGCTTAACACATATCTTAACATATTCATCACAACATCACTCGCTCTCTAAAATTAACTCACCTTAGAACGCATTTTTAGACTTCACTTTTATCACTTTTCGTCATATAACACATCATTTTTTAGCCACTCCATTGTAGATGCTCTTACATGTCCAATCCAATGTATGTACTCTCTCCATGCTTATAGCACATATATCTATGTTTGGCATGTATTATTTTATTATATCTTTTTATCTTTTTATCTTACTACTAATAATCTGTGCTATGCACGGTATGTAAAAAAATAATAAGATATTTTTATAAAAAATAATATAAATATTTAAATTTTTTTATGCAAATTATGAAAACAAAGAAGATTGAAATTTATAATTTAAATCCCATAATTTTATCACCATTTATTTATTATTTTTTAATTTGTCACAAATTTAATCATATAACTTTCAACTCCCCTCGCTAGAATTGCAAATTTAGGTGAGCTTAACCCAAGCAACTTGAGTCGAGCTTAAAATTTTTTAAAGATTGAATAACATAGTTTTTAATTAAGTGAGGCCCTATGCAGAAATTCAAAAATTCAAATTAAATTTGGATAGACTTGGGCAGAAACACCAAATAACCTGAGCAACCAAAACAAAATTATATATATAAATATAAAAGTTATTTGCTAATTTATTTTTTAAACTAATAAATATAATTAATTAAAAATTTAATATTAATGAACAAAAGAAAAAGTAATATGCTTAAGATTTCTAATAGAATTTTTCATAAAAATATTTAAAAAAATACACATTTTAAAAAGGGATCATCAAGGATTGTTTGGGAAGTGTCATATTAGCTTACTTTTTTATCTTTTTATCTTTTTTTTACTCAAATCACATCTTTACTTTTTTACACATCTTATTGTAAAAAGTAAAAAGTATACTTAATTATATTTTTTGAGTCACATCACAATTCTACTTTTCTGTACATATTTCGTAAAAAGTAAAAAAATATATTTATTTAGCATTTCCCAAACTACCAAGTTGATATTAAAAAAAAATTAATTTTTATAATGACATAAATAATTTAAATATGATTTTTTAGAAATTCTTTTTAATTTAAAAATTAAAATAGAATAAAACAAATTTCTTGCAAAATAAAAGTATTTGAATAAAAAAAAGGTAAGAAGAAAATTTAATATGGTATTTTTATTTAATCTGAAAATAATTCTGGATGAATAATAAATTATCATCTATAACCCTTTTTTTTAAATAAAAAATTTTAACGAACTATCACTTTTAATAATAAAAAAAAAATTTAACATTTCTTTCTAATTTATTTTAACAAAAGTAACTTTTTAACAATTTGAGCGAAAGATGTCTTTATTCTTTATTTTAATTTTTTTTAATTGACAATTGAGCTAAAAAAAAAATTAAAAAATCTAACAAAATCCACCATGTGTAGTAAGTGCTAAAAAAGTTATGTTTTATTCTTTTGTTAAAAAAAAAATTATATTAGAAAATATTATTATTCAAGC